GGCTCCGTTTCTTGACTGTTGGACGGCCATCTTGATTACGGGCAGGAGGCTGAGGGCCATCTTGATTTAGGGCTGAAGCCGGGCATAGAGGCCAGGGCTGTAGCTTGGTAGCCATCTTTGCTCTGGGCACACTGCAAAGGCCTTTATTTTAATGTGTGACTTAATTGCAACAGGGGAATGGTGACCAGTAACTAAGAAAACCCTATGCCCCCCATGGCCCTGTCTGGCTGCTACCACTCTGATACCTGAGGTCAGAGGGTGCCTCTAAGCCTAATGTTTATCCTCAGTGACTTACCTTGTCCAGAAATGCCTGGGGATTGGGTGACTTTACTCTGCTACCTGCTAGTGTTCATTGTTTGCACTGGAGGCTTAACAGTTGCACCGGCGCCTTAACAATGTTATTGTGAATCACACAATATTTGATGCTTTTCTTACAGCTCCAGCTCCTGGAGTCCTGGGATCAGGTGAGAACCTCAGCTTTCATTTTTAAAAGATCTAAGTTCCCAACCCCCAGGATTGCAGAGAAGAGCTTGAAAACATGAACCCTAAACATTCCGAACCAGAAGGAAAATAATAAGAATCACAAATTTATTATTGTTAAAAATCTCATGATTCTGGGGGGGAGGAGGAGAGGGTGTTGTCTGACGATTTTTAAACACTTGGGGTTTTAGAGTACAAATTTCAGATACATTCTGCACTTTGGTTTACAGTTTTAGAACTTCTCCCAGTAGGATCATCTTCTTTGACGCAATGCTGTGATATTATGTTCCAATACCATGGTGTATGTTATAAATCATAGCACCACTGTCTGAGATGTGTGCATTAGATCATCTAGTCCAGGGGTTGGCAACCTTCAGCACACGGCCCATCAGGGTAGCCCGCTGGCGGGCCATGAGACATTCTGTTTACGTTGACCCACAGGCACGGACCCCGCAGCTCGCAGTGGCCCCGGTTCACCGTTCTCGCAACTTCCATTGGCCGGGAGCTGTGGGAACTGAGCCACTGGGAGCTGTGAGGGGCCGTGCCTGCAGACGGTCAATGTAAACAAAATGTCTCATGGCCCGCCAGCGGATTATCCTGGTGTTCCGAAGGTTGCCGACCCCTGATCTAGTCCCTCCTCTTGCCATTTGGCTCCACCAATTTTCTAATGCTAGTTTCAGAGGTAATGTATGAGGGGCATGCAGGGTCACGTGGCCATTTGCTGTTTGGCTTGTATGGCGTATGGTTACACGGACTGAGCATGCTAAGTAACACTGCTGAAGCTGGCTGCCCTCACTGTCCCCCTCCCACCGTCAGCAGGCGTGGGTCATCCCTGACTAGTTTTATATACCTCTAGTACAGCGGGTCTCGACCACGTTTTAACGGGGTTGCCAGGGCTGGTGTTAGACTTGCTGAGACGGGGGGCTGAAACCCGAGCCCCACCACCCTGGGCCAAAGCTGAAGCCTGGGTGGTGGGGCTCAGATTACAGGCCCCCCTCATCTGGGCCTGAAGCCCTTTGGGTGCATGGGAGGGGCTCGGGCTTTGGTCCCCCCTCCTGGGGTCATGTAGTAATTTTTGTTATCAGAAGGGGGTCGTGGTGCAATGAAGTTTGTTGTCAGAAGGGGGTCGTGGTGCGCTAGTAGAAGAGGAGGAATAGAGTTTGGGTATGAGGAAGAGGGAAGGGGTCAGAGCTTCCTGCTAATATCTTCCTGATGAGGAAGTAAAATGTCTCAAGGAGGAAGGACAGATTATTAGACACTTCATTTATATTCTTGTACAGCAGCAAGATGCATTTTCAGTGACAGGCACTACATAAATTATGTACATAAAAATAAACCTTTTCTATTCACTGTAGCTTATGAGTGACTCACTTTAAAGTGCTTTCTGAGGCACTACAAAACATGACCCTCATCCTGCAAGCTGCTCTGTGTAGGCAGGGCCATGAGCCCATTGCAGAGTCCCTTTAAGACAATAGGGCTTCACAAGGGTGCATGGGATCTGCCTGTATGCACCAGTTTGGAAAATCAGCTCCTATGAATAGGGCCATACCAAATTCATGGTCCATTTTGGTCAATTTCATGGTCATAGGATTTTAAAAATGGTAAATTTCATGATTTCAGCTATTTAAATCTGAGATTTCAGGATTTTGTAATTTTAGGGGTCCTGACCCAAAAAGGAGTTGTGGAGAGGGGGGTTGCAAGGTTATTGTAAGGGGGGTTGCGGTACTGCTACCCTTACTTCTGCACTGCTGCTGGTGGTGGTGCTGCCTTCAGAGCTGAGCAGCTAGACAGCAGCGTTTGTTGGTCAGGAGCCCAGCTCTGAAGACAGCACCTCCACCAGCACCAGCACAGAAGTAATATGGTATGGTATGGTATTGCCACCCTTACTTCTGCGTTGCTACCTTCAGAGCTGGGCCCTCAGTAAGCAGCCACTACTGTCTGGCCACCCAGCTCTGCAGCCAGCAACACAGAAGTGAGGGTGGCATGGCATGGTATGGTATTACCACCCTTACTTCTGCGTTGCTGCTGCTGGTGTGCTGCCTTCAAAGCTGAGCGCCCGGCCAACAGCTGTAGCTCTCTGGCCGCCCAGCTCTGAAAGCAGCTCAGAAGTAAGAGTGGCAATACTGTGACCCCCCCTAAAATAACCTTGTGACATCCCCCCCTGCAACTCCCTTTTGGGTCAGGACCCCCAATTTGAGAAACACAGGTCTCCCCCATGAAATCTGTATAATATAGGGTAAAAGCACACAAAAGATCAGATTTCACGGTCCGTGCCGTGTTTTTCATGTCCGTGAATTTGGTAGGGCCCTACCTGTGAAAGATTTTGCATACAAATAGATAGTTTTATTCAATTCCTGGTATAAAGAAGCATCTATTTCATTGCTATCAAAATGTCAATATATGTAATGTAAGTAGAAGGTTAAGAGCTGCATTGGTGGGGTTTGATGACAAAGCCAATGCAGGTGTGCAGCTTAACAGCATGTGAAGATAAATAGCATGCAGAGAAGACATGAGAATATGATGGGGTCTGATGGAGTGGGAAACAGTGCAAATGCTTCATGGGAACTAAAGCCAAGAAGGGTATGATATCTCCCATACTGCAGTTGTTTGTTACATGTAAATTTTAAACATTTCTAAAGTTTTCCCAGTATGGGGGGTGGGGGAACATGCTTACAAATTGAGATGCTATTGAGTTAAGGAGGTTCAGGGTGGTTACCATATCAAGTCCATTTTGGGTATTTATTTTTCAAAGGTAATTTACTTAAGACATCTCAATTGTAAAAATGCTCATTAATTCTTAATTTGCTTCTCCACAATTTACCAGGAGAGAACAGTTATTAATCCTTGATTCAGGTTACCCACAGTGTCTTCATCTTACACTTACATCTATCTTTCCCTTGCTAGGAAAATGGCTTAAGAGTAGTTTGCTTAAGACAAACTACATCTAGACATGCACACAAAATACCAAAAACATTTTCATTGCTAGTGCTCTAGTACTGTCAGTACCTTCCAATAATCTTTGTTAGTTATATATCTTTCTGTGCGATGGGGGACAAATAGGAAATAACTATAGCAAATTACTATTAAGCCATTTTCCTAGCAAGGGAAGTTTCACATGGAATTTAAACAATTACTATATTGATAGTACTATATTCAACACATCTGTGCTGCTCTGTCACTTTAAAAGGCCTTTTCTCAGTAGTAATATTTTAATAGGACTACATTGGGAATTTTGGTGAGGAAGGCGGAAAAAGTAGTTTAAAAGTTGGTAAAAGCATGTCAAAAGCTTAAAGGAAGGAAAGGCAGGAAGAACAAAGAGGTCCGCCTCAAGGAAAGTAATGACATGTCGCTACAGGGAAAGGTTTGTTAGGCAGCAGGCAAAACAAAGGGTAAG